CCTTCGTCCCGCAGAAGGAGATCGTGTACAACAAGCTTCTGCCCTACGCCGAGCGGCTGGACGCTGAGTCGGATTTGCAGCTGGCGCAGATCAAGAGCAACCTGGGCCGGGCTGTGCAGCTGCAGGAGCTGTGGCCCGGGAGCCTCTTCTGGACCCGGAAACTCTCCACGTAAGTTGGCCGAGGCTGCCGGCGGCCCCGCGCTCTTTGTCTGAGCTGCGGCTGCTCAACTTTGTCCTGTCCGGGCGGCGCTGGCCTGGGGCAGGGTTCCAGGGCCGCGGTCGAGCCCGGGAGGCGCCCAGCCCCTTGGCTTCTTCTGGGTCCTGCCGGTCGTTCCTCTTCACCTGCCCGGCTCTAGAGAGCCGCCCGGGTCCCAGTACTACACAGCGACGAGCTCTCCTTGGAGTTCTGCGCGCGTGTAGCTCTGCGGGGTAGAGAGGTCCAGTCTTTGGGGAAGCAACTCCGGACTTGACTTCTGTATTTCCTCTAATTCTTTTCCCCCCGACGATCCACGCCTTTTTACTTCTAAACCGCATTGCGAGTGGGAAGGAGGCCGTAGGGAGACGAGACTAAGCGGTTTTGGGGTGTGTGTGCGGGCGCGTGTGTCGTCTGTCTGTCCGTCTTCTGTGTCTTGTCTCTCTGTTTAGTTTGGTGTGTGTGTTGGGGGGGGGGGGGTGCTCCTCTGGCATCCTGGATTTAATTGAAATGATTGGTTTCAAATAGATGGTCGGCGCATTCTAGGGTTGAGTAGACGTTGATGTTGAGAATGTTGTCTTAGAATCCTAGGAAAGCGTATGTTCCTGTTGTGACATTTCCTCGGTCGAGACTTTGCTGATTCTAAGTAAAATAGTGAAAAACGCCCCAGGGCTTTGTTAGCTCTCCTGACTGTGTGCTATTGATTTGGTCAGATGAATGTTAACGGCCTTAACCTCAATTTCAGAGTTCTTTTGTATTCTGCGAACACTATAGCTGCAAATTACAGTGCCAGTGGGATTAGAGGTGGGGATAAGTAATGCTGGGGCAAAATGCTTGGAGAGATCATTTGCTCTGTATGCACCTTTACTGTGGCAGAACTTTTTATGTAAGAATTTTGCTGTTTTGTTTGAGACTGTATGTTTATGCATGTGGTTACCGGTGAGTGATCACACCGGACACGTCATTTTTGTTTACCAGAATCTGCTGAGTGAACTGGGTGATGACTCAGGATTTTATAATGCAATAGTCGGCTGTTATCTCCCCTGGGATAATTCTTATGTACTAGTTATTAGGGGGCCTCTGACAGGTTTTTCATACCCTCTGAGAGGGTGGAAATAGCCCTCTTTTAATTAAAAGATGCAAAATTGAAACACTTAATTTGCTCTTCTTAGAGTGACCATAAAATGTCAAGGTTAACAGATCTTTTGTCCCCGGGTGTTGGAGGCACACGCCTTTAATCCCAACACTCGGGAGGCAGAGGCAGGCGGATCTCTGTGAGTTCCGAGGTCAGCCTGGTCTACAGAGCTAGGATAGGCTCCAAAGCTACACAGAGAAACCCTGTCTCGAAAAACCAAAACCAAAACAGATCTTTTATCTAAAGAGATTTTTGGTGTTAAGGATCCATAAAAGTGTGGGGATCAGTTTAGCCAAAAACAAACAAAACCAAAAACACTTTTTAGGTGGTTAAAATTCAAATGCTTCTTCATGTGTTCCCCTAGGTGTTTGTATAACTTGAGCACAGTAAAAATAAATAAATAAATAAATAAATAAATAAATAAAGTTTGTTAGCTGGGGTGTAGACCCTTTTAAAATCACTTTGATAATTTCAGGGGATTAATCAACTTTTCTTTGGTGTACAAAATACCAATGTGTGAAAATATCCAGTTTGGATTTATGAGCATAGTTAAATGGTTTTCCAATTTCTGCTTAATGAGTTTGGTAAATTGCACTAGATTTTGTTACTGTTTTGGCTTAAGTAACATTACTAAGGAAGGGCTAAAAATAATAGTGGAGGGAGGTACAGTGTGCTGTGTCTGAGGGCAGTATTGCTGTTTAGATAGCTGGTGATTTTTTATTTATTTTTTATTTATTTACTTATTTATTTTTTGTGAGTAGCCAGCAAGGAGTGCTATCAGGTGGAATGGTGGTTAAATGCTGGAAACTCATTCTCGGAACTGCATTGTTATATGACATTTTTAATTTGATAGGACATGCTATGATCTTCGTGTGTTTTTCCATTCTAAGTCAAATTAATGTGACCTGTTAGTTGTGGTTCACGCTCCCCCACACACACAGACTTACTTTTTAAAAGCCCAGTGTATTGTTTAGCATCTACTTAATCCTCAAGTGATCATGTTTAGTATTTCCTAGAAGAAATGTAGTAATAGAAAATTTCATTCTTCCCACCAACTCTGGAAATATTACTTAATCATGCCTTTCTGTTGTCTTGTGAATGAAAATTATTTAGTGGGCTAACTAATTCCTAGAAACTATTTTTCTGATAATCTCTCTTAATATTTCTTAATTTTGGGGGTGCTTCATGTAAACCAGTTATGATCCCCCCCACCGCTCCCCACCACCATCCTGAGATAGGTAGGCCAGATCAGGGAGGAATGACGTTCATCTACCTGATTGTACCTCCAAATTGTTGGGTTACTGGCAAGAAACACCATGCCTAGCCTAACCTATTTTTGAGACAGGATCTCTAGTAGCCCAAGCTTGCTTCAAACATGAAATCCTGACACCTGCCTCCACCTCCCAAGTGCCAGCAATTATTCAGAAATAGCCAGTTTTCTCTTTATTTGCTAAATGGCTCTTTGTGCCAGAATCTCATTTTTGCTTTTAAATTTTTTTAAAAGATTTTATTTATTATGTATACAATCTTCTGCCTGCATGCCAGCAGAGGGCACCAGATCTCATTCTAGATGGTTGTGAGCCACCATGTGGTTGCCGGGAATTGAACTCAGGACCTCTGGAAGAACAGTCAGTGCTCTTAACCGCTGAGCCATCTCTCCAGCCCCTTTTGCTTCTAATTTGAATAAGTTTTTTAATCAAAAACTTTTTTTTTACCTCATACATTTTCAGTAAAGTTTATTTAAATTTATTATTACTGTGTATGTGTGGGAGCAGTCAGAGGACAACTCTAAGGGATGGACTCTCTACTGTCCCACTCTAGCTTCCTGGGATCAAAGTCAGGTCTTTAGGGTTGCCATCTTGTTGATTTTTATTATGGAAAATGCCAAACATACAGAAGAGAACAGTAATATAATGAATACCATTTATCAACAATCATCAAACCATATCGAGTTGTAAAAATTGTGATTGATATTACTTTGAATTCTCCCTATGTCTGCATTACTTTGTCTCAGGTTTACTATAATCAGACCTCATGGGCAGAGAACAGTTTTAAAGGCTGATATTGTGTGTATGTGTGTGTGCGCGAGCGCGCAGCATGAGTGTGTCACATGCACTGGTGCCATGATATGTTTCCATTAAGTCAGTTAAGTCAAAATCCTTTCACCATGTGATTTTCTTAGGGATTGAAGTCAGGTTTTTGGGCTTGGTGACAAACAACCATATCTGCTGAGTCATCTCATCAGGTCCAAAGACTTCTTACTGGTAATTATTTTTATACTCGGCATCCCTTATCTTTTATCCATTGGAGATTAGACTCAATTCTGGGGTAGCAAATAGAGTGTGGAATTACTTCTGTTTAAAAAAATCAAAATATTGAGACATATATAGTAGAGGTAGCATACAATCTTTTTTCAATACTCTTTTTTTTTTTTTTTTTAAGTTTGTACCGGTTCAGGACTGTCTTTGGTTTGTAGTGAAAGACTTCTGCCTTTAGGATGCTCCAACATTCTCATTCTCTTAGCGTCCATTTTTGTTTATTCAGGACATACCAGTAAAGGAATAGCTCTACCAAGAAATTTGATGAGAAAATATGGTTTCTAAATATATCCTTTAAAATATATTTTTTTAATTGGGATCACTTTTAACACCTGCATTGAGGCACCAAGAAAAGCAGTTAACAGTGCTAAAGATGGTCTGGAACCTTGCTGGATGTCACTTGTGACAGCCATGCTACCTGCTGCGGGATTATAAAATACCATTGTATTTGAAATACACATCTAGGATTTTTGTTTGGTTTGGTTTTTGCTGTCCTGTCCTGCCTCCCACCCCCATTCTCATCCCCCATTGCTGGTTCTGGGACCCTGGGTTTCATGCATATACTAAGCAAGTGGTCTACCACAGTTACACCTTCACCCTGAAGTACATGTTCTTAATTGAAGTGGACAAATTTTGCTTGGTTGATTTGGCTGTTTTGAGATAGACGCTGACTCTAGCCCAGGATAACTTGGAGCTCACCTTGTAGGTTAGGGAGGCCTGGAACTCATTCACAGTGCTCTTCCTGCTTTAGTCTTCTGAGTAGTGGGTTATAGAGTGTGAGACATCACAATAAATAAATAAACAAAATTGAGAGTTAGCTGCTTGCCTGCCTGCTTTTCTTTCTTGTTTGTTTTTTTTGTTGTTTTTTTTTTTTTTTTTTTTTTTTTTTTGTTGAGACAGGGTTTCTTTGTGTAGCCTTGGCTATCCTGGTACTTACTCTGTAGACCAGGCTGGACTTGACCTGAAAGATCTGCCAGCCTCTTCCTCCTGAGTGCTGGGATCAAAGGCATGCACTACCACTGCCTGGCAAAATAGGTGCTTTTTAGTAAAAACTTCTGGAATCTTCTACTTTCTGTTGAGTGATATTCAGATTCATTTGTAGTTGCTAAGTCTCCAACCCTAGGACTAAAGGCTGAGGTGCCTCTTTAACACATCAAATTGAACCTGGCCACCAGGTTCTCCCAGCATCCTTCAGCCCCCACAGGGTCCTGAAATCTCCAGCCCTGTGGGCTGGACTGCTCTTCCCTATATAATCCTACCATTTTGGTTACCCAGCCATTTTGTACCTTTGGCCACTTGGCTGCTGCACCTGGTTCCCCTCTCTTCCCTCTCCTCTAGTTAATACAAACTTTAACTCTTCTGTTTTCCACACTGAAGCTTATAGAAACCAACAGTTATTTTGTACTAACAGCAAGTTAAGAACATAGTAATGAAAGCAACAGAAAGTAAACAGCAGCAACAAAAGCCCCTGTATTGGCTTAGCTAGCCCTCTGGAGTGTTAAAAGCAGCACACAGCACACAGA